AGCAACCCTCAGTTTGTTTCCTGAGATTAAGAATTCCTCATATCAGCGAGGTCATATGATACATGTCTTTCTCTGATTGACTTACTTCACTCAGCATAATACCCTCCAGTTCCATCCACATCGTTGCAAATGGCAAGATCTCATTCCTTTTGATGGCTGCATAATATTCCATTGCATATACATACCACTTCCTTCTTTATCCATTCATCTGTCGATGGACATCTTGGCTCTTTCCACAGTTTGGCTATTGTGGACATTGCTGCTATAAACATCGGGGTGCACATACTCCTTCGAATCCCTACTTTTGTATCTTTGGGATAAATACCCAGTAGGGCAATTTGCTGAATCATTGGTAGCTCTATTTTCAACTGTTTGAGGAACCTCCATACTGTTTTCCAGAGTGATTGCACCAGCTTGCATTCCCACCAACAGTGTAGGAGGGTTCCCCTTTCTCCACATCCCCGCCAACATCTGTCATTTCCTGACTTGTTCATTTTAGCCATTCTGACTGGTGTGAGGTGATAGTCTCATTGAGGTTTTGATTGGGATTTCCCTGAAGCTGAGCAATGTTGAGCACTTTTTCATGTGTCTGTTGGCCATTTGGATGTCTTCTTTGGAAAAATGTCTGTTCCTGTCTTCTGCCCATTTCTTGATTGGATCATTTGTTCTTTGGGTGTTCAGTTTGATAAGTTCTTTATAGATTTTGGATACTAGCCCTTTATCTGATATGTCATTTGCAAATATCTTCTCCCATTCTGTCAGTTGTCTTTCGGTTTATTGACTGTTTCTTTTGCTGTGCAAAAGCTTTTTATCTTGATGAAGTCCCAATAGTTCATTTCTGCCCTTCCTTCCCTTGCCTTTGGCGATGTTTCTAGGAAGAAGTTGCTGCGGCTGAGGTCAAAGTGGTTGCTGCCTGTGTTCTCCTTTAGGATTTTGATGGACTCCTGTCTGACGTTTAGGTCTTTCAACCATTTGGAGTCTATTTTTGTGTGTGGTGTAAGGAAATGGTCCAGTTTCATGCTTCTGCATGTGGCTGTCCAATTTTCCCAACACCATTTGTTGAAGAGACTGTCTTTTTTCCACTGGACATTCTTTCCTGCTTTGTCAAAGATGAGTTGACCATAGAGTTGAGGGTCCATTTCTGGGCTCTCTATTCTGTTCTGTTGATTTATGTGTCTGTTTTTTGTGCCAGTACCATACTGTCTTGATACAGCTTTGTAATAGAGCTGGAAGTCCAGAATTGTGATGCCGCCAGCTTTGCTTTCTTTTTCAACATTCCTCTGGCTATTCGGGGTCTTTTCTGGTTCCATACAAATTTTAGGATTATTTGTCCCATTTCTTTGAAAAAAGTGGATGGTATTTTGATGGGGATTGCATTGAATGTGTAGATTGCTCTAGGTAGCATTGACATCTTCACAATATTTGTTTTTCCAATCCATGAGCATGGAACGTTTTTCCATTTCTTTGTGTTTTCCTCAATTTCTTTCATGAGTATTTTATAGTTTTCTGAGTACAGATTCTCTGCCTCTTTCGTTAGATTTATTCCTAGGTATCTTATGGTTTTGGGTGCAATTGTAAATGGGATCGACTCCTAAATATATTCTCTCAAGAGCAACCGTTTTACACAATTGTTCTGTTGCCTAACATAAAAGAAAAATTGAAAATATGCTCCTGAGCCTCAATAGTGAGGCATTCTTATTTATTCTCATGTAATTTATCTGGGGCTAGAATGGATCACCAGGCTCTTTGCCCTTTGCATAAACCAGATTTCCAATCTCTCAGCCATGTACCCATTAGACTTTCTGTGTTCTTCTTGTCACCCCATTGTGACTTCTACTTGATCTTGATCCCTTCAGTCTGAGGCTTTCAAGAGAAATCACGTACTACATAACTGGAAAAGCAAGAATCGCAACAATTGGCAACAGGAAGAAACCCGAAGAATATTAGATTTCTGGCTATATTCTGTTTTGTTCACAAATCTGCAATCTGGGCAGAGTTCAGTAGGAACAGCTGATCTCTGTTCCATATGGCATCACCTCGGGTAACTCAAAAACCAGGAGGTGAAATCATCAAGAGGCTACCCACTTTCAGCTAGCTATTGGCTAGAACTTGAACAAGTGGTTTCTCCATGTTCCTCGTGGCATGAAGGTTGGATACAAGAGTGACCCTCCCAAAAGGACCAGGCAGAAACTGTATCACGTTTAGTGACATGGACTTGAAAGTCACATAGTATATCTGTCAGAGTTACAGGCAAGTCTAGATTTAAAAGGAGGAAATACAGATCCCACTTCTCAATGAAAGGAGTATCAGCATTACATTTTAAGAGAGTCTAAGGGGCGGGGTATCTCATTGCATGCCATTTTGGAAAATATAATCTACCACAAGCAGTGATCAATATTCATTATGAGTTTATAAACACAGAAGTTGTCAACTAATGGAGCTCTTTTCCAACAATAACCCCAGAGAATAAGTTTATGCACCTGTATATAAATACATTCACATATGCATACATAAATGTATTTGGCAAATGAGGGTTAATTCTTAGATTCAATTTGCTTCCAAGATATTTTCAGTGTTATGCCTCAGGGTCAGGGCAGGGAAAATGGGCCACTCAATTAGTTTAAAATAAAAGTATTTTTCCCCCATCATCCATCTACTCTCTGGGAAAATAAATCAGGCTACTAAATTCTGGACTCATACCATTTCCATGGTAACAAAGCCTAAAATGCTAAAAGGTGGATTATAATTCTTTGCAATATTTAAGAAATCTGTCTTTAGTTTCTGTGGTGGTTAGAAGTTTACTTAACAGCAATGAATAGCATTACTATCACTAACCCTCCCCCATACAAACACAGATGCAGGCAACAGGAGTGTTTTTTAAAATCCTGTAATTTATACTAAGTGACCATAAAGATAGGGGGAAATGAGTAAAAATGAGACTGTCCAATTTGGTCTCCTTAGATCTGCTTTGAATCAAATTTTCTTGTTTTGATTTTGATCGCAGTTAGGTGGCTTTAGAAATAATCTGACCATAGAAACCTGGAGGAAAAGTCAACCCATAGGTACAGAAGTAAGAATAATTACGGTGTTTGGGAATTACAAGTAGTTTAATATAGCCAGAGTAGACTATGTCTAACACAGAGTCTTATTTTTGGTGTTAGGACTTTTAATTATAAAGTTTTTCAAATACACAGAAAAGTATAGAAAATAATATGATCTCCAGGTACCTACCCCATAGTTAATAGCTTTTACCCATTTGCCATAGTTTTCTCAAATCTCTTTTCTGAAGTTCATGTGTGACATTTCTAGGTATGATTCTGTATATTGGTGCTTATGAATGAATCCCTACACTTTTATATCTTTGCGCTTTAAAGATTTGTATAAATGGCATCATAGAGAAGATGTTTTTTGTAACTCGTTTCTATTGCTCAACATTATGATTTTTATCTTTAGCTACAGGGCATAAACACACCACCATAAGGAGAGCAGAGACAAGCATTCAGTATTGCACAGATAGCTAATCCTTTATTCAACTAAATTTATATTTCACCCGAAGAGTGAGTTGATGGTGACAGTTTTGCATTTGTAGAAAATGTTAATGATATGCAGACAGGACTGGACACCAGAAACTCAAGTGAATACAGGGAAAAGAAAATAAGATTTATTTGCAGCCCAGTCCTTCCATTTCCAGAGGCCAGATGCTTTCTCTTATAATCCATCCTTTGGGGGGAGGGCTACTGGGAATGAGTGGTATTTGGTGATGATAGCATAGACGTCCAGAGACTACCCAGGAGGCAGCCTATCTGGACTTATACAGGGATCAGGGAGCCATCTCTCTGAGCTTCCAACAGGGAGCCCTGACCATTCCTTGTGTCCCAGCCATCCCTGCCTGCCCATCCCTGTGGATTTTCTCTCCTGCTGGGCACTTTGAACTTGCCTAATGTGAGTCTGTTTTCCACAGGCTGGGAGAGCTGCAGGGCTAGGTGGATGACATACATTTGGGTTCATTCGTGTCCTGCCATGTGCACGCCCCACTTCTATTCCCTATTACCATGAAAAATGCCTTGCTTGATGTTCTATTCAATTACCAGTTGCCGTTTGATAGATCAAGTAATTTTTAACTTTTTGTAGATTGTTAAACTAAAAGGACTAAAGGGATGTTTATTTTGAAGACACGAAATGGAGTCACTGATTTAATATCAGATATACGTGAGCTATTAGATGCACTCCATCTCTCTTCTCTGTTTACCATATTACTCTCCGAAGGTCTCAAAGAAACACCTTACATAGAGAAGCTCTCCCTTTTCCAACAGGAAAAAGGGATGACACACCTGTTTTACTTTTGCAGTGACACTTACTTATTCAATAATATCTACCAGATTAAAGTTCTGTTAACCTCATGTCACTGTCAACTAATTATATTTTGCTTCTGTTGCATTTCTGAGTGTGTTAAGCTAAAAGCAAGTGACTTTCCTGCAAATTAAATTGCACGAAGATTTTTAGACCATATTCAAATACCAATAGGTTTGATAAATTTATCTGTCTAAGATGGGTAGGACAAAGAGCTCTTTGTTTACTGACATACTTTATTTTCAGTCTGCTATACAGCTCTTTATGGTTGTTTTATAGGCATAAAGTCTAGGTATCCTGTCGGAATCTCCGATCTTATTTATAGCTTGCTGCAAAGTGGCTTATTGTCATTTATTACTTCTTATTTGATTTATATAACACCCTTCCACCAAAGAGCCCATGGGCTTATTTATATGAAGAGTGCACACACACACACACACACACACACACCAACTCACACGCACACTTGAACTTCACTCAACACTATCATATAGTTAGCAGGAGAGTACCAAAAATCTACAGGAGGGTGTTCCATCTGTTTTTTGCTCCAAAACCATGTTCTGGAATATTTCTGATATTCCAAGGTCACCATATTTCCTTTCACTTTGAGTATTTATTGTTTGCCTCTAGGTGGATCGGATCATCTTCTGTGTCTTCTTAGAAGTTGACTTCAAAATCTACAAAAAGAAAATGAGCGAGTTTTTCCCTGCAGGTGAGTAAAGTGATCTGTTTTCTTTGGGATCGAGGTTGGGAGTGGAGGCATCGGTTATACTCTATTTTGTTTCCTAGCTTAAGGAAATGTTGCAAATATGATCTCGATACACCAGTAACCCATGGCAACTTGTGTCATAATTTTCAAGCATTCAGGGAGGTGACAGGAAATCTAAGCCTTTGACCTCTGTCCCAGGAGGTCATAGTGTTGTCTTGGGAAAGTCAATTCATCTCTTGAGTCTCACTCAGTTTCTCACATCACAAGTGAGGGGCTGGACCCAATGACCTCTAAAGACTGTTCCTCTGGCCCTAAATCACAGGATCTGTGATTTGTTCCCCACACATCCAAGTTGTCTAAGCCTGTGTCTACATCCACTGTGTTAAACACCTTGGTTGGAAATTGTGAGGAGCCTGTTTATATTCGTAGCCAGAATTCAAACAGTTCCTGCACTCTCTCCCTATTCCCCACATTGGCTCAAATTGCAATGAGGATAGCAGCCCTTCTTAGGGTAATCTGTGAAAGGTGCTCATTCATCATAGTTCACATTTGAGAATGTAGGCAAAATATCAGAGTTATTAAAGAGCCTTGTTTAGGGATGCCTGGGTGGCTCAGCCGGTTAAGCATCTGCCTTCAGCTCAGGTCATGATCCCAGGGTCCTGGGATCAAGTCCTGCATCGGGCTCCCTGCTCAGCAAGGAGTCTCCTTCTCCTTCTGTCTGCTGCTCCCCCTGCTTGTGCTCTCTTTCTCTCTGGCAAATAAATAAATAAAATCTTAAAAAAAAAAAAGAGCCTGGTTTACATTGACTGAATATGTCATTAGATTTGGTTGGCCTGGTTAATTTGAATATTGGCCCCCATTGTTCCTCTTCCAGGCTTGCTTACTACCTAGTTATATTTTGATGGTGCCATTCAGGTCACAGTGCTCAAGGTGCTTTCCTCAGCCCTGGTAAGAATGGCTTCCAGGAAATTTCAAGCTACTGTGAGCGTTGCTGATGCCTGCCTCAGAGGGAGTTTTCCTTTGAGGTTTCCCAATCCATGTGAAGAGGATTTCCGTGTACCTGGTGACTCTGGCAGGTGGGAGGGAGGGCGTGGTGCACATTCACCCTCTCGGCAGCCTGTCAGAGCCATCCAGTAGATGTAAATCCAGGACGCCCTGCCTGAAGATCAGAGTAGAACACAGGTAGCTGTCAAGAACTGCCACAGAAAACGGCTGGAGATGTTCAACTTTGTGCTAACGTTCAAGGTGGACTAAGTTCCTCTGAGTCATGTGAAGTCCTGCCCTCTAGTTTTATCACTGAAAGGTGAATCTGCTAAGTGTATTTAATTGGAGCTTTCAACTACAGTATTTCCCTAACTAGGACATACTGTAAATTCAGAGAGACTCCCCAATATGGTAAAGGAGAGATTGTGGTTGTCGTCTTTTTTTTTTTCTCCTTTGCCTTCTCCCTTCTTTTTTTACCATTTTAGAATTTTTTTTAAACAACTCAGTAATTTACAGCATGTAAAGCACTTAGCAACTATTGAATAAGTAGTTGTTAGTATGAGCTAAATTTAATAAATTCTTCTCCCCATAATCCAATGGCTTTTTTTTTTCTTTCAATCTCCTTGTTTCATCCTTTATGTCCTACATAACCACAGTGAGCTGACTGTGCCTGCATCTCTGTATTTTTAAAAGTTTTCTCTTTTTTTGCACTTTTAAGTATTCTTAAGAGAAAATGTTCATTCATGAAAAAAATTTGACTTGCCATGGTGTGCGCTGCAAATATTCTAGTGTCTTGTCAATATCACAGCATATTTCATAAGCTTTCATCATTTTGGACTTCTTGAGTGTTTAGAAATTATGGTGTAACTTCCATTTTCATGTCTTCTAAAATAAAAACTTGTTTTCACTCTAGCATATGATATAAAATAATTGCATAAGTATGATCAATTGATATTAAAACAAATCTATCCATCAGCAGATATTTCCAGTGGTGCAAAGCCAAAAATCATACTATACGTTTATTCTAAATGAAACAGTTTTAGTGGTCTAGAGTGTATTAATAATTATGAAAATAAATTATTATTTGAAAAATTGCTACTCTAAGTAAATCCAACATGCATCTTAGTGCTTGAGCAAATGAAATAATAATAAAATCATCCTGAGTTTCATATCAATACTTTGAGTCATAGCATGCTCATGAAATTATTTCCAGTGCACATTTATAATAGTAAGCACATTTTTAAACTAAATGTCAAAATCCCCCCAAATTGTTGAGTATTTCCATAAGGCCGAAGCATCAGCCATTTGTAAATTCTGAATATGCAATATGAAATAAAGGTGACTTCTAATGGAATGTGTGACTACTAATATAGATGATATACATTATCTGTCTATAATTTGAATTTATGGTTAATTCATAACCATACCATCTTTGATTGGACTTGCCATATATCCGCCCTAGACTGACTTATTCAGACTATCACTAACTAGTCTTCTTAACCCTTCCTAATGCAATAATAGTTTAAGGAAAAAAAAGTCATTTTATATTAAACTAAATCTCTATGTTTTGGGGTATTCTAATCCCGTGTCTTTACATTTCATAATTGGGAATCGGAGACAAAATGTATAAAAAAACAATACAAGTGAGGCTAGATCACATTCAAGATATAACACATGCAAAACTACTACCTAATATTAATGCTAGGAATAATAGCTAACATTTATGGATTGTTTTCTCTCAGCTAAATGCATGGGCTAAGTCAGGTCATCTTTAGGTTAACTCGAAGAAAGTAGGCACTATATTAACCCTACTTTTTGATATGGAAAATGATGCATACCTGAGAAAATGAGGCATATGGCTAGGAAGCAACAAACTCTATTTCAAAATTGAGAACAGCATCTGTCATTGCACAAGTGATAATAGTTCGCTTCCTCAGAGCGTCTCCACACAAGAGTGAGTTCAACTTCAGGGATGCATTTGGAGCACTGAGAAAGTCTCATTCCTAATGTCATCTGCTGCCCATCATTGTTCAGAGCTGCCACGCTTCTCTTTCTTCTAATACCTGTAAATGTCCTCCTGGAAACTTTCTACTGTGAGTCAAATTGGTACTTTATCATGGATCTCAAAATCAAATCCCAACCCTATTATCTAGGCAGTGCAGGGCTTTGACCTGAAGGTAAGCAGGAGAGTGGTCACTGGAAAGTGAAAAGGCCTTACTTATGACCACAAGGGAAGATGGAGAAGTGCTTGTAATAGTTTGCTAGAGCTGCCGGGACGAAGTACCACACACTGGTGAGCTCAAAAACTGAAATTTATTTTTTCACAATTCTGGAGGCTTGGAGTGCAGCACGTAGGGGTTAGCAGGATTGGGTTCTTCTGAGGTCTCTTTTCTTGGCTTATAGATGGCCACCTTCTCTTTGTGTCTTCATGAGGTCCTCCCTCTGTGTATGTCTGTGTCCCAATCTCCCTCTCCTTGTAAGGACACCAGTCATATGGGATTAGGGCCCACACTAATAACCTCATTTTAATTTGATCACCTATTTAAAGACCCTATCTCCTAATCCAGTCACATTCTGAGGTATTGAAGGTTAGGACTTCAACAAAATATTTTGGGGGACACAACTCCACCCCTAACAGAGCCCATCATGGAAATGCAGTAGGAACCATAAAGGAAAGAAACCAGCAACAATTTTTTTTTTCCCAACAGTTTTATATCTTGCTGTGGGTGAAGCACATTTGACTTTTTCCTTCCAGATGTATTGTTTGAAAGTCTAGTGTGTCAGCTTTATGGAATTACCATACGCTTTGGTTGCAAATAATTTATAGTTACAGTACACAATGAGATGGCCTATGGCAAATAATATTTGTATGATGCAACTCAGAGATATCTTTGTTCTTTACATAAAAGGTTTGTATTTTCCAGTTTGTAGTATTTATTGTGTATTTTTCATAGATTTGGAATATGGGGGTCAATTTTTTTATTAGACACTAAGTTCTAATAGAGAATTGAGGGATATTAATTTTCCTCATAATAAGAATGTCAAATTTACAGTTTTGGAACTATATCCAAGAATCCTGATGTTAGAAATAAAAAATACCATGGTCAGGCCCCTCCCCCACATTAGAGAAAGCCTACATTTGTTTATTGCAATAGTTCTCCAAAATAATATTTTAAGTTATATCCTCTGACAGATGGGTATGATATTTTTAAAAATTTTATCTGGATGTACTCTTTTAAACCTAACAACACAAAGATTCACCTGACCTCTTCTTCATCTCCTCTTCTCATTGATTTTGTAAGCTTTTCTCATCCAACATCATTCATTATCTTTCTGTCCATCAATCAACAAATAATTTATTATATGCCTACTATATACCTAAGGTTTTGGTCACTGCTACATTTAAGATATAGTTCTTATAATATGCCCAAGAGGTAAGTATTATTCAGAACAGTTGGAAGACAATATTATCAAATAATCAAGTATAGCCTTGGTATAGTCAAAGTACCCAGGAATTCAGAGACAAATATGTCTGAGGACCAGGGTGGTTGTGGCAAGTTTCATGAAGAATGTGTACTTCAAGTTTAAGCAGGAGCAGAGAAGTGATGCCAAGGATTCTGTAAGTGACATAGAGGAGGAAGGCAGTTCAGATGGAAGGATTTGCGGAATAAGGAGGATGCTTAGCTCCAATTTGTGAATCTCTGACTGAGAAATGTTGACACTCATCAGCATGTAATTGTATGACTTTGTGCATGTTGCATAACCTTTTTATGCTTCACTTTCATCATGTGCAAATGCAGTAATGGGCCAATTCCAAATAGGATAAATAACAATGTAAATGAATATTCAGAGAGGTGTCTAGACCAAGCATCATAAATTTTAAAATATCCATGTTTATTTCTTATTACAATTTTTTTTTATTTTTTGGTGTGTTTTTCTTATTACAATTTTAAAAGGAGGTATTTTAATTATTGTGACCATCTTAATTAAAAAGTATAAACTTCTTATTACAAAAGTAG